ATACTGATTATTATTAATATATAATACTAATAATTTTTTAAAAATCTGGGCCCCATAAATCTGGAGGCCCTGTTCTGGATAACCTAATTAACCCCCTAAAAAACGGCCCTGCTCATTAATACAATGCTTAGTTGTTGGAAGAATCTGAAGTAACGAAGATAAAAGATAGAAAAATTTCAATCGGTGGAAAATTATGTTTTTGTTAATATGACTCTGCAACTTTCTAAGAGCGAACTAAGGATGAACGAATAACAACAGTAGTCAACATAATGTGTGGGATAAGAACTCGTCTTTAGCTTTAAATTTTTATACTTTTACTCCGTATTATTTAATTTTGTGCATTTTTTTATAAAAAAATTGATACGTGTATCCATCACAATATTGTATCTGATTTTTTAAATAATTACAAAAGTTGGAAACTTTAATAAATCTCCGTGCAATAACTGGTATGAGTATCCTAAAATATTTGATATAAGAACATTTTTTATACGCAAATATGATTACCCTAGCCAAACTATCCATGTCACCTCAAGAAAGTTATGTATCACTATAATGATTAGGACCATTCTTGGTGTATACAAGATGTACACAAAATGTGTACATTATCTATATACACAGAAGTCCTACCCCTTTTTAAATGAATTGACTGTGTACACAGGCAACTAGGAGGTTTTGTGTACAACGTGTGTACATTAAGAATTTTCCTAATGATTATTTACAAAGTTGAACTTACGTGTAATTCAATCGTTTAACACTTTTTGTGTTCTTACATTTTTTCTTTTTCGAGTTTTATTTATTTGTTTATATATTTTATATTCATGTCATTTTAATATCTTTGTTTTACTTTTTGCAACACACTTTTATTATACTGTGCATTCAAATTTAAATTTTACAAACAATTTTAAACACCAGTTTGAACGTTTTTTTGACAGAACACCAATTTTAACTTAATAACTACCAGTAGCATTATTTTAACTATAAATGTGAATACTCATGAATCATAATATGCACCATTGTAAAGCGTTTTCATTTCTCACGTTAAGGAGTGCTCTCACCGGAACTGAATTCTCACCTTTTGACGGACTTCATATATTTTTTATTGTATTAGTTTTAATTATTACTCCCTCCGTCCCAAAATTATCTTCATAGTTACTATTCACATGGTCAACTCAAATTACTCTTAATCTTTTACTTTATATATCAAATTTTTATCAAACTTAAATTTTCTTGATCAGGCTTTGTAGCGGTTTTAATGTAGTTTCTGAATATGTAAATTTTATTTACTAAAAATATTCCGAGTGTGAACAGGGATCGAGTTGCTTTATCGTCAGTCAAGCATCGTAAACCGAACTATGAAGATAAATATGGGACGGAGGTAGTATTAATTATTATGTAGAAAACAATTCTTGATGGACTTTGTATTAGTTTTAGTTTGATATCACATCAAATCAGACAAGACATGAATATATCATATTAGATTAGACTAATTTCAGATATTGTCGATGTGCTTCAAGTTAAGTTGTAATGATATCAGGCTTGTAGTTGAGCCCCATATGATGTCCCTTTCTTCGACAAGTTGCTCCATTGGGCCAGAGGTGGGCTTGAATCTTTCACGAGGGTTGGGTTTCTCACCTTTGCTTTTGTGGACTTGGTCGGGGTCATGTAGCTCGGAACATAACCTGGGCCTGCTTGTACTTGTCGACGTCCACGAGACGTTATTGGGCTTATTTTATTTTGTTTGATACTAAATTGGGCCGAATTCACATTCGTATTGCGGAATGAGTCTGTGAAGTCCATTTCCATCCGCTTCTCCGAAATATGGTCGGACTAAGGTCGGTCGATGAATGGGTCATGTAAGAACCCTCAGCTCTTGTGGTGTGATGGGCTGGAATGCCATCCATTGCTCCATCCAAGCCCATCTCCTTACTTGCCTAGTTGCCTCTTATCAGCAAGCATTTCTCCATAATTCAAGGGAATCTCTTGTTTGCTTTGCTGCTAAATTGAATCAATTAGAAAATAAAGTGCATAAAATAAAGTAAATAAATGAACTATATCAATACTTTTTTAAAAGGAAGATTCTATTTTCGACAAAAGAAAATGAAAGTACATAAAATTTAGTGGAATGGAGATACTATACACTCCACAATTTTGTATGATCTCTCAATCTCTTGAGGAACTTACTTTTTTTTAAAACGTCTCTAAATAAATTCATTTCCCTATTTCATAAGTGAATTTTATTAGCTTATTATGCTATTCTCAAATAATGTGATTATACCGTAGTGTCAAATAATGTACCAATGTTTTCACTCAAGACACAAAACATTTTAGGTAATCAAAACAAAATTGTCAATAATATGTACCTGGTAGGCAAAAGCACAAGCAAGTGATCTTTCCCTTGTCAATTGAGCATCATAATCATTCTTCCTCTCACCACCTTCCACAATTTTGCACCCATAATATTCATAATTGCTATTTTCGAACTTCTTTGCCTTGCTTTGAACCTTCATTTCTTCCTCCATGAATGACAACCTCTTCTCATCATTTTCATTGAACTGTAACTTCTTGTGTTGGGCCATCTGTAACCGTCGATCTCGTTGTCTCGCCTGCACCCGCACCAGAGATTGCATGCATCGTAATGTCAAATGCGCTTGTTTTTGCACGTTGTGCCCTCTCACCAATGCTTGCAGTCCCACTAATCCTTTCAATGCTCACAACGCCCGCCTTGCCTACATACAATACATTTTTTTGGATTGTTATTACATTTGCTTATTTACAAACGATTTTAATGAATTCTCACCTGCATTTGAATGATTCGTCCTTCAAGATTTTGACATCTTTGAATTTTTTGCTCGATGAAACTAAACCTTAGACCAATTATATTTATTTATATATTTTCATTATTCATAAGAAATTATTTATAATACGCAAGTGATATCAAACTATTATTTGTTAAGAATACATTCATAAAGTTAAATATATATCTTTCATAAAAATATATTGGTCGAAACCATTCATCAAAGTTCGTCATTATTGATTTAAAAAGTACGGAGTATAAAGTAACAAAGTTTTTTTTTTAAAATATAAAATAACAAAGTTTTAAGTGACGGAGAGTCTAATACATCTATAACTTATGATAGCCCATACCCGAAGACATAAACATTATAGTGTGAGATTCTATAGACATGTGGTTTATGATAGAAAAAATAACTTTGTATAATTTACATAGGGAATATATACAGTGGAAATGATGTGTAATCTCTTTCTAACTAAATAGTAATAATATCTTATGAAAGTCTAATACAAAACAATTAAATAAGTGTTGTTTGCCAATTGATTGTGGGTTGATTGTGTTGAACGAATTTATGGTTATAATGTGATTTTGCATCGATATGTACAAAGATGGATATGAAATAACAATATAACTTGTATAGTAAACCATATGTATATTCTAGCAGTTATGGACCTCTTGTTTTAATTTGACACATTTATTAATGAAGTGTTTAAAAAGTAAAAATTATGATTGAAAAAATTAAACTCTAATTTTAGTTTGCATTGATTCATACTAGAATAGACAGATTTGATCAAATTAGACAAGCATAGCTAGACTTATAAGGTTTTTAGTTGGACTGATTTCAATCACACATCATACCAAACTTAAATAAACTAGATCAGATAATATCAAGCTCAACCAAATCAGACCAGCCTAAACTAAGGATTTATTTAGTTAGAATAATTTCAGTCTCAGACCAAACATAAACAATTAATCATACCAAATCCGATCAAATCACTTCAGACTAAACCAAAATTAGATAATAGTTAAGTACTACTTTGGTCCCAAAGAAATTGTCTTACTTTTGTTTGTAGGATGCCCCAAAATGATTGTCTTATTTTCTATTTTGGTAATAATAATTTGTGGTTTGCATCATTTTACTTTTTTTTTACTCAAATCAAAATCAATTTTTTACCTTTTCAACCACTGTATTAAAACTTATGCGAGGGAAAACAAGACAATTAGTTTGGAATGAAAGAATTGTACAAAAAACATACATTAAAAAAAGGCTACAGGGTCAAATAGGCCCTTGAACTGACTTAAAATGTTCAATTAGCGCCTTATATAGGGGGTTCTGCCCGGCCGTCGCTAATTGGGGTGGTTACCGGTGGAATTTTTTGATGAAATTTTTTGAGCATCTTCTTCATTAAGTCTAGTTTACTCATACCAAATTTCAGCTAAAAATTCAACCGGGAAGGCAGTCAAATGATTTTCCGAAATGTACTGCGCTGTTTAACTTCGCAGTTATTTTCAAAAAATCATTTGACTTCTTTCTCGGTTGAATTTTTAGCTGAAATTTGGTATGACTAAACTAGACTTAATGAAGAAGATGCTAAAAAAAATCATCAAAAAATTCCACCGGGAACCGCCCCAATTGCCGACGGCCGGGCAGAACCTCCTATATAAGGGGCTAATTGAACACTTTAAGTCAGTTCAAGTGCCTATTTGACTCTTTAGCCTAAAAAACCATACTTCAACAAACTTAAATAGATGAGACCAGATCGATGAGACCGGACAATATAGACAAAAAAATTCAATCCAATCAAAAACATTCTTAATATATCAAATTAAATTAAATAATTAGAACACACCAACCAAAACAAACTAAATTAAACGAAATCATACAATTAAAAAATGATTAGAAATTGCTCAATATCGGAGCAAAGCACAAATAATGTTAAAAAATATGATTAAGTATGTTTTAATTCTCCAAATAAGATTTATTTATCCTATTAAAGGAATCTATATATATTAAAATGCAAAAGTGGCATCAAAGGATTTGGGCGGGCAGTGTGAACACGATTTGGTTGAATTAGATTGTTTTGATGTCACGCCCCGGACCTACCGGACACGTCAACAACCCGCCGTACAGTACGAATAGTCAACCGCAGTCCAACTCATCCATACTATACTAGGCGTCATGAATATCATTCACAATAGTACATCCATAAACAAACATAATGTAAAATAACCAATTGAAATCAGCGGAAACGTTTAATACAAGTGTTTATGCCACACTCCGGCAAACATGGGCATACAAGCCCCAATAATCATTCAAAATATCCATGAGCATTAATTTAATGTTTTAAAAAATAGGACGGAGGAAGCACGAACCACGTCTTCCCTCCGGAATCTCCCCGAAGCAACGGGCACTGGTAGCAAGCTTTACTCCCTACCTGAAACTGTGAGGTGGCCTCCCCCGTGAAGGGGAGGTCAGTACTTGGAAGCATTTGACAAGTACAATGACAACTATACCAAGTATAATCAATGTTTCAATTTCTAAGACCCTCAAAATAGGGTGATATCATAATATAAATAATAATTTATATTTCCCACTTATTATCTCTATAATAAGTAAATTTATTTATTTGTCGGCACACGGCCCATTTCATATATTTCATTATACCCGTCGTTAGCACGACACCGCCCGTAGGTCTTATCATCCTTTACGAGACTTGTCACCGCTCTCCGAGGCCTCACCGGGTCCCCGGGCCGGAGTCCAACATCCCGCCCCTGAACTCATACCCATCGTCCCGTAGGAAGGTAAGGTCCATTCAGGGTCCTATCTTATGTGTTACCGCTGTCGGGAGCCTCGTAAGGTCTCCGGTTCGGATTCCACCCTAACCCGTGATCACGATGTAAGTCCATGCTATCCAACCCCGCTCTCTAGAGTCGGGAAGGGCCATGGTCCTTACTAATTACCAATACTCTATCGGCTAATCCTTAAGACTACCGAATACACCCGTAGGCCAATCCTATTCATAGGATCAATTTATTATTCACTTTATCTTGGGTATCCCTTAAGGCCTACCCCTAGCATCACTTATCCACCTTAGTATCTCTTAAGACTACTTAAGGCTCAACAATTTACAATCCAAACCTTGGATCAATTCTAACATATTTCATTCCAAATCCCCGACTAGTATCATAATACTAGTCGGATAAATTCCAACAAAACTCATTTTCAATTTATAGTCATATAGACAATTTCCAAACTAATTTTCCATTTGAAAATATAGTTCACATCAATATACAAAATATAATCTTTAATCACTCATATATCCTTATATGAAGTTAAAATTATATTTCAACATAATATTCATAGTTAATCCCTTCATCAAGCCAATATGCTCATATTACATAATCATACACAATTTATCCTTAAATTTGTATATTATGCTCCTTTATTCATTGACAACAATATTTTCATTTAGGCATTATTAATCATTAATAATCCATGAAAATGACATTTAATTACTTTAGGTAATCTTACGAAATTAACCCAAAGATTATAAACAACATAGTCAGCCATCCTCACCTTGTGATGTGCTACAATAGTTGCCTTTGCTAAGCCCCTCGATCGATCCCCGTTCTAGGCCGATCGAAAGTGAAAATCCTGGACAGTAGCCCCAAAGCCGGGCGGCTTTCACCCAAAGCCGGGCGGCTTTCGTAGTCTGCAACTACGAACAGCTTCTTCTCCTTGGCGGTTTCCGGTGGTTTCAACTCCTATCGATTCCACGACTCTTCTAAGTTAATTACCACCACTATATAACAATATTATACACCCTTAAACGTGTAAAACTCGTGGTTTAATCCATCATATGATTTCTCAAAAATCATACCACACAAAACTAGTTAAAGAATGTTTATGGAGTTCTTACCTCAAAACTATTCTTTTCTCCTTGGGTTTTCCTTCTTCCTTGAGCTCGTGTGAAGCTTGCTAGACCTCTCTCTCCCTCTCTTGGCTTTGGTTGAATGGTTGAGGATGAAGGATGAAAGATGCCTTCTCAATCAACTTCCCAATAATGTGTGGGAATTGAGACATGGGGTGTGAGTTTGTCTCTAGGAGACTTCTCCTCCCAATCATCCGCACCATCCAAATTGTGTGGTCCCCCTCCCATATTATTTGAGTTTAATTAGTGTGTAGAATACCCCAAGTGGGTGTAGGAAATCTCTCCCAATTATTCCTGCTATTTCTGGCCGGTCGGGTCAAAATAGCGCTCAGGTTGTCCAAATATTTTTATCAACTTTAGTTGGCACTTTATTGGGCTTCTATAATTATTACGATGACCCAACTAAACATTTGGTAGCCCATTCCCATATAATGGACCCGATAAATAATTTAATTAATCTCACATTAATTAAATATTCCAATCAATTACACGAATTTTATTCGTTAGAAAATTCAAATACATAACATCTTTAAATTCCAAGTACAATCGGGTGCGGTGTCACAAGTTCACCCCCCCTTAACGGGAATTTCGTCCCCGAAATTCACAAATGCTTAATCGAAAAGGAATGCATACTGTTCCTTCATTAAGGCTTCCGTTTCCCAAGTTTCTTCTTCAACTCGGTCACTTTTCCAAAGGATTTTCACCATTGGAACATTCTTGCTCCTCAATTTCTTTACTTGCCTATCAAGTATCCTTACCGGTCGAACGGCATAGTTCAAGTCCTCACGTATTTCCACGGGTGGTTTCTCTAATACGTGAGACGGATCCGGTACATATTTCTTTAGCATAGACACGTGGAACACGTTATGTATCTTCTCCAATTCTGGAGTCAACTGTAATCGGTATGCCACGGCCCCGATTCTTTCAAGAATCACAAATGGCCCAATGTATCGTGGGTTAAGTTTCCCTCGGCTTTGGAACCGGATGATTCCTTTCCAAGGTGAAACTTTCAAGAATACCTCATCTCCCACCTGAAATTCCAAGGCTCTCCGGCGCTTATCGGCATAGCTCTTCTGTCTATCCTGGGCCGCCTTAAGCCTCTCCCGAATCAGCTTCACCTTTGACTTGGTGATCTCTACCAATTCCGTGCTTTCGAGCTTGGCCATGCCAACCTCATCCCAACACAACGGTGTACGACATTTCCTCCCATACAATGCCTCGTATGGAGGCATGCCGATACTTGCCTGATAACTGTTGTTATAGGCAAACTCAACAAGTGCTAAATGGTTGTCCCAACTTCCTTGGAACTCCAATGCACAGGCTCTCAGCATATCTTCTAAAATCTGTATAACTCTCTCGGATTGCCCATCTGTCTGGGGATGAAAAGCAGTGCTGAACTTCAACTTCGTTCCCATGGACTCTTGAAACTTCGGCCAAAATCGTGATGTGAATCGTGGATCCCTGTCGGATACAATGGTGATAGGAACCCCATGTAACCTCACGATCTCATCCACATACAATTTGGCTAACCTCTCAAGCGCATAGGTAGTGTTGATAGGTAGAAAATGTGCACTCTTCGTGAGCCTATCAACCACCACCCATACGGCATCATAGTTCCTCACAGTTCGTGGTAGCCCTACCACAAAATCCATAGTCACGTGCTCCCATTTCCATTCTGGAATGGAAAGCGGCTGTAGTAACCCAGCTGGATGCTGATGTTCTGCCTTCACCTGCTGACAAGTAAGGCATCGACTGATGTACTCAGCTATTTCCCTTTTCATGCCTGACCACCAGTAACTCTCTTTCAAGTCACGGTACATCTTCGTGCCCCCTGGGTGCATGGCATAGGCCGATGAATGAGCTTCCTCTAAGATGGACTTTCGGAGCTCATCATCTGCCGGTACACACACTCGGTCACGAAATAGTAAGAGACCGTCATCTCTTTCCCTGAAGTCCTCCACCGGTCCCGCTTGCATGCGCTCCCGGATCTTCATAATTTCTTCGTCAGTTTCCTGACCCTTCTTGATCTCATCAAGCAAAGTAGGTCTCACCTCAAACCGTGCCAATAAGGCTCCATTGCTGGATACCTCCAGTTGGGCTCTTAAAGCCCTCAAGTTAGCTATCAATGCCCCAGATGAGCTTTTCCGGCTCAAGGCATCTGCCACGACATTGGCCTTGCCTGGATGGTACTCGATTACCAGGTGGTAGTCTTTTATCAACTCCATCCACCGTCTTTGCCTCATGTTCAACTCTTTCTGAGTAAACACGTACTTCAAGCTCTTGTGGTCAGTGTATATGTGGCATGTCTCCCCGTAGAGATAATGTCTCCATATCTTAAGTGCAAACACCACTGCCCCGAGCTCTAAATCATGAGTAGGATAGTTTACCTCATGCTTCTTCAACTGTCGTGAAGCATAGGCAATTACCCTCCCATTCTGCATCAACACACATCCAAGTCCTTGGATGCTAGCATCGCTATAGACATCGTACCCCATACCTTGCTTGGGTAATGCGAGTACCGGTGCCTCGGTCAATCTCTTCTTTAGTTCAATGAAACCTTTCTCACATTTGTCATCCCATACAAACTTAGCTCCTTTACGAGTGAGCTTCGTCAATGGCGATGCCAAAACGGAGAACTTCTCCACGAACTTTCTGTAGTAGCCTGCCAATCCAAGGAAACTACGAATTTCCTTGACATTCTTTGGCCTCTCCCATTCGGTAATGGCTTCTATCTTCTTGTTATCTACCGCAATTCCCGATCCCGAAACCACATGCCCGAGAAAGCCAATCTCCTTTAGCCAAAATTCACATTTAGAAAATTTGGCATAGAGTTGTTTCTCTCGTAGTGTCTCAAGAACGAGTATCAAGTGTTCCTCATGCTCTTCCTCACTCTTTGAGTAGATCAAGATGTCATCTATGAACACTATCACGAATCGGTCCAAGTATTTGTGGAACACTCGGTTCATCAAGTCCATGAATGCCGCCGGGGCGTTTGTTAACCCAAACGACATAACAAGGAACTCAAAATGTCCATACCTAGTGCGGAAGGCACTCTTCGGTATGTCATCTTCTTTGATCTTCAATTGATGGTACCCCGACCTCAAGTCAATCTTCGAGAACACCGTTGCTCCTCGTAGTTGGTCAAACAAGTCATCAATCCTAGGCAAAGGATACCTATTCTTGATTGTGACCTTGTTCAGTTGACGATAGTCAATGCACATTCGAAGTGTCCCATCTTTCTTTTTCACGAAAAGAACCGGTGCTCCCCACGGGGAGTGGCTTGGTCTAATGAAACCGTTATCCAAAAGCTCTTGCAATTGGGTTTTCAACTCGTTAAGTTCTGCGGGTGCCATGCGGTATGGCGGTATGGAGATTGGTTTGGTGCCGGGCTCGACCTCGATCACAAATTCAATCTCCCTATCGGGTGGAAGTCCCGGTAGGTCTTTTGGGAAGACGTCCGGATACTTGCACACCACCTTCACATCGTCGATGTTCATCTCTTCTTTGGTCTTGTCCACCACATATGCTAGATATGCGTGACATCCCTTCCTCATCATACTCCTAGCTCTCACGGCGGAGATGATACAACTATTGGATTTGGCCCGATCCCCCTCGAAGCGTAAGGTTACCCCTTCATCGCCTTCGAGTTCAAGTATCTTTGTGTAGCAATCGACCCTAGCATGATGCTTCTCAAGCCAATCCATCCCCAGGATTGCATCGAATTCAATCATACTCAGCGGTACGAAATCACACGTCAAGTTTCGGCCCTCCACTTCCACCTCACACGATGGATAGTGGCTATCTCTCTCGATGTCTTCCCCTAGAGGTGTGGATACCAATAGGGCTTGAGTCATCGGTACAAGTGGTTCTTTGAATCCCCCGGCAAACGCCTCACTCACGAATGATCGTTGCGCCCCGGTGTCAATGAGGATTCTTGCGTCTCTCCCGTTGATCTTTAGTGTTCCTACATTCATAAGCAATGTAAGACACACCCCCCACTTATTAGACTCGTTTCTTAGGTTATAGAGTACCCCGGCTGTGGTCTGGATGATCGTCATCTAACGCCCCATCCCAATTCCATCCCGGTTCTCACTTAAAAGTCAACATTATGCACCAACCAGGGAAAGCCGGCCGCTTTTCATGAAAGCCGGCCGGTTTTCGCACCTTGGCCTTCGGCTCGGAGAGAGAAGTTACGTAAGCCGGCCGGTTTTTGCCAAAGCCGGCCGGTTTTCGGTCGCCGAAAGAGTTTCAACTTTTTAATTATAAAAGCCGGCCGGTTCTTATGAAAGCCGGCCGGTTTTCGGTCGCCGAAAGAATTCCCGATTTTAATTCCTAAAAGCCGGCCGGTTCTTACGAATGCCGGCCGGTTTTCGTTGACAGTGCCTCACACCGGAATGCCTGAACACAAGCCGGCCGGTTTTTACAAAACTCGGCCGGTTTTTATACGCCGAAGGATTTTAACAAAAATCCTTTACGAAAGCCGGGCGGCTTTCGTCAACGTCGGGCGGCTTATGGTCGCCGTAGGATTCTGCAAATAATTCGAAGGCGAAAGCCGGGCGGCTTTCGTCAATGCCGGGCGGCATTCGCCCCAGGTGGATATTCATCCACTTCTCCGAACTTGCACACTCCCGGTTGGCTATACAATGTGTACATTTTAACACTTATGTTGCATACAAGGGAATAACATCAAAAGTTCAAGAATTTACCCGCGACGGAGTCCGGGTTAGCACGTGCATCGGCCTCCGTAATCGCATAGACCCTCGCTTGGGTCCTCCCTTGGTTTACGGACGGTGCATTGCTTGTGCTAGCTCCACCGTGCCCCAAGCTTGCACTCGGGTTTCCCGTTCGGTTCCTGCTCACCATGGTCCCACTACTCGGTCCGGAACCCGTACCTCGCCCAAGCTGTGGGCAACTCACCTTCATGTGCCCGACCTCCCCGCATTGATAGCATCTCGGGGGATCACGACACTTGCCGTGGTGAAGCTTCTTGCAGTTGCTGCACCTTGGTACTCCCGAGTTTTGAGACCTCGAGCCTTGCCCGCTTGGGCCTTGATTCGCCCTCGATGGTGGTGCAGGGGTCTTGAACGAGCCACCTCCCCCGTGGTTCCCCTTCTTGTTAGAACCTTGGGGGCCATGGTTCTCCCATTTTCTTTTCTTCGCCTCCTCGGCGTCTCTTTTCTTCCTCTCTTCCCACTGCTTCTCGCCCTTCAAGGCTTGGTCTACTACTTGGGCAAAAGTCATGTTAGGCAATTGTGTTGCCCTATCACGTATCTCCAAGTCAAGAGCGTCCCAAAAGTGGTTCACCATTCGGTTCTCGTCACAAGCATACTCCGGTATGTAGTCGGCGAGATCCCGGAACTTGTACTCAAGTTCCTTCACTGTCATGTTTCCTCCTTGGGTTAGGAGGGTGTATTCCCTAACCTTCTTGTTCACCTCAAAGTCGGAATAATATTGGGCAAAGAACTCCCGTTGGAAGTCCTCCCAAATGACGCCCTCGCCATACTTGCTCTTGGTTCCATCCCACCATTTGGATGCCATCCCCTCAAGCAACCTTACCGCTATTCTCAGTTTAAGGTTGGGCGTGATTTGCATGTCAAGGGCTGCTTCATTCAACCTCTTGATCCATTGGGCGGCAACCGAAATGTCTCCGGTCCCGTCAAAGGGTTTGCACCCCAAGTCTCTTGCTTCTTTGATAAATTTGGAGATCCTTATGGTTGGACCTCCATCATTTCGGCCTCCATGTGGTTCCACATGGACTCTAGATGCATTGTGGCTTCCTCCTCTTGAAGCCATACCCGAAGGTTGCCCCACCCGGCGCCTTCGGCGTTCCCTCCTCTCCTCGCGCTCTCGGTGGTATTGTTGGAGTAGCGCCTCAATTCTTGCCAAGGAGCCATCTTGCTCCTCGTCACTAACATCATCATCATCCCCTTCATAAGGGGTCTCCACCGGCTCGGTTTCCGGCCTATAGGTTGAGTCCTCATAGGACCAATAAGTCTCACTCTCCGTGTCAACGTGGCTGTCGCTCACGGTTTGTTGCTGGCCTCCACGGCCCCTTCCCCTTGTCACCCTAGTGGACCCCCGGCTGCCGCGTTCGGATCCACCCAGTACACGGCCCGTCGGGTTCCTCCTAGTGATTCTTCCAGTTGGCTCCATTTCTGAAAGAAGTTTAGAATGAGCCATTAGACTCGTATCAAATGTCAAGTGACGGATAGGTACTTAAAGACATCTTTTGGCTCAAATCACCGCCATACCAATTGTTAAGGGTACCATCTTAACAATTAGAGACTTTGCAACTCAAGTACCAAAAGTTCCATAAGTACAAAACTTTATGCTCATGGTTTGCAAAAATCATTTTCAAAAGGGATTTTGAAGCTTCATTATGAAGTTTACGGACTAAGGCTCTGATACCAATTAAATTGTCACGCCCCGGACCTACCGGACACGTCAACAACCCGCCGTACAGTACGAATAGTCAACCGCAGTCCAACTCATCCATACTATACTAGGCGTCATGAATATCATTCACAATAGTACATCCATAAACAAACATAATGTAAAATAACCAATTGAAATCAGCGGAAACGTTTAATACAAGTGTTTATGCCACACTCCGGCAAACATGGGCATACAAGCCCCAATAATCATTCAAAATATCCATGAGCATTAATTTAATGTTTTAAAAAATAGGACGGAGGAAGCACGAACCACGTCTTCCCTCCGGAATCTCCCCGAAGCAACGGGCACTGGTAGCAAGCTTTACTCCCTACCTGAAACTGTGAGGTGGCCTCCCCCGTGAAGGGGAGGTCAGTACTTGGAAGCATTTGACAAGTACAATGACAACTATACCAAGTATAATCAATGTTTCAATTTCTAAGACCCTCAAAATAGGGTGATATCATAATATAAATAATAATTTATATTTCCCACTTATTATCTCTATAATAAGTAAATTTATTTATTTGTCGGCACACGGCCCATTTCATATATTTCATTATACCCGTCGTTAGCACGACACCGCCCGTAGGTCTTATCATCCTTTACGAGACTTGTCACCGCTCTCCGAGGCCTCACCGGGTCCCCGGGCCGGAGTCCAACATCCCGCCCCTGAACTCATACCCATCGTCCCGTAGGAAGGTAAGGTCCATTCGGGGTCCTATCTTATGTGTTACCGCTGTCGGGAGCCTCGTAAGGTCTCCGGTTCGGATTCCACCCTAACCCGTGATCACGATGTAAGTCCATGCTATCCAACCCCGCTCTCTAGAGTCGGGAAGGGCCATGGTCCTTACTAATTACCAATACTCTATCGGCTAATCCTTAAGACTACCGAATACACCCGTAGGCCAATCCTATTCATAGGATCAATTTATTATTCACTTTATCTTGGGTATCCCTTAAGGCCTACCCCTAGCATCACTTATCCACCTTAGTATCTCTTAAGACTACTTAAGGCTCAACAATTTACAATCCAAACCTTGGATCAATTCTAACATATTTCATTCCAAATCCCCGACTAGTATCATAATACTAGTCGGATAAATTCCAACAAAACTCATTTTCAATTTATAGTCATATAGACAATTTCCAAACTAATTTTCCATTTGAAAATATAGTTCACATCAATATACAAAATATAATCTTTAATCACTCATATATCCTTATATGAAGTTAAAATTATATTTCAACATAATATTCATAGTTAATCCCTTCATCAAGCCAATATGCTCATATTACATAATCATACACAATTTATCCTTAAATTTGTATATTATGCTCCTTTATTCATTGACAACAATATTTTCATTTAGGCATTATTAATCATTAATAATCCATGAAAATGACATTTAATTACTTTAGGTAATCTTACGAAATTAACCCAAAGATTATAAACAACATAGTCAGCCATCCTCACCTTGTGATGTGCTACAATAGTTGCCTTTGCTAAGCCCCTCGATCGATCCCCGTTCTAGGCCGATCGAAAGTGAAAATCCTGGACAGTAGCCCCAAAGCCGGGCGGCTTTCACCCAAAGCCGGGCGGCTTTCGTAGTCTGCAACTACGAACAGCTTCTTCTCCTTGGCGGTTTCCGGTGGTTTCAACTCCTATCGATTCCACGACTCTTCTAAGTTAATTACCACCACTATATAACAATATTATACACCCTTAAACGTGTAAAACTCGTGGTTTAATCCATCATATGATTTCTCAAAAATCATACCACACAAAACTAGTTAAAGAATGTTTATGGAGTTCTTACCTCAAAACTATTCTTTTCTCCTTGGGTTTTCCTTCTTCCTTGAGCTCGTGTGAAGCTTGCTAGACCTCTCTCTCCCTCTCTTGGCTTTGGTTGAATGGTTGAGGATGAAGGATGAAAGATGCCTTCTCAATCAACTTCCCAATAATGTGTGGGAATTGAGACATGGGGTGTGAGTTTGTCTCTAGGAGACTTCTCCTCCCAATCATCCGCACCATCCAAATTGTGTGGTCCCCCTCCCATATTATTTGAGTTTAATTAGTGTGTAGAATACCCCAAGTGGGTGTAGGAAATCTCTCCCAATTATTCCTGCTATTTCTGGCCGGTCGGGTCAAAATAGCGCTCAGGTTGTCCAAATATTTTTATCAACTTTAGTTGGCACTTTATTGGGCTTCTATAATTATTACGATGACCCAACTAAACATTTGGTAGCCCATTCCCATATAATGGACCCGATAAATAATTTAATTAATCTCACATTAATTAAATATTCCAATCAATTACACGAATTTTATTCGTTAGAAAATTCAAATACATAACATCTTTAAATTCCAAGTACAATCGGGTGCGGTGTCACATTTGATGATTTGAGCATTAAAAAAATTAAAATAGGGTGAACAAGTATAATTAAAATCTATCTATATATTATTATATATATTAAAACGCAAAAGTGGCATTAAAGGATTTGGGCGGGTAGTGTTAACACGATTTGGCTGAATTAGATTGTTTTGATGATATGAGCATTAGAAAAATTAAAATAGGGTGAACAAGTATAAAATAACGTGAAAAGCGAATATGAAGTAAATGGCAGTCGGCAATTTCCAATACATATTTAATGTCACTGTCGGAGAGAAAAGACTAAAATGGGCGGCTATGCATTTTAGAGGTCTTCGGTATCCCAATATCCCATTCGATTGAGGATTAATACGGAGTACTTTTAATGGCTGAGTGGCTCCATTACAACAAAGGTTATACTCCGTAATCATTATTTCTTAAACGTATGTAGCTACTATTAACATATTATTATGACAAAAAATGTTAAATGAGTATGATTGAACAATACTACATATACAAATCATTGTTTAGTAATTTACATCCCATGTTACCAGAGATATTGAACATCGCACCCCATTTAAACTCATTAATTTATTCACCTCATCAGTTCAAAAATTGTAAAAGAGTGAGGAGGTGCAAAGTTACCTGGAGTGAAATGAAGTGCATACCTTAATGGGTTTTAAAATAGTGTACAAAGTTAAATATGACTCAAAAAGTGTGGTGCAAAATTTTTACTAAACAATTCTATTCCTACATAATTCTATTAAAGAGTTTTGGGGTTTAAAATGCAATCATCACTAAAAACATGTACGTAGTAATTAATTTTTGTGTTTCCAATAATTTGGTGATTCAATGTCATTCAACATTTAGTCTATCATTACTTTAATCAAATAATTATTAGCTACATATAATAGAAATATAGAATTATAGTATATTTAAGATATTAATCATCGAGAATATAGTGCCTATGATACTCCAACAATTAAAGATATATGTTAGCTTATTGGGAATTGAAAAGGCAATGTAGAGTAATCATTAATTGTTGGAGTTTCGATCTAAAAGGTGGGGTGGAAGTGAATGGACAAACGAGTTTGATAGCTGAATAATTATTAGCTACATTTAGTCTATTACTTTCTTTTTGAGGAATTTCACTAAGCTATTTTGTCGTTTAATGTAATTGAATGAATTTATTGTTGTTTAATGTATAGTAATTGAACGAAATTAGGATCTCTATATAGCTAATAAAATATTGTGATTATATGGGGAACCAAAAAGACAAATTTCATATTGATGGTGTTCATGAATAGAGAAATACCGTTTTGTTCGTTCATACAAGTATAAATAACACAATTTCTTCTTTGATCTATAATCGCATGCAAACCATTCGGTAAAGAAGTTGAGTGTTCATTAAAGTGTATCGATCTTTTCTTCATCCATGCAGTTGTCTCTATGCATAACAACATTTCATTATTTATTTCATTTCAAAGTAGAGATACTCAGATACATAAAGAGACTCTACTATCCATCCATATTTTAAGTAAAGCACAACTATTTTTACGGCCACCTACAACACCTCGGTTCTCAAATAAGCAAGCTAAGTAGAGAAGGTGCCGTTTTTGTACTCAGAATAGTTTGTTTCTTCGAAGAAGTATTTACCGGCCTCTTACGGAGTATATATATGTT